CGCCCTGTACCATTATGTTAGTTTTCTTTAGGCTAATTGTCAGGCCAAACTCTTTGCAGGCAGCGGATAAGCTGGATACGAGGCTCCGCAGGCCGTCTGCTGTGTGAGATACCAAAGCGGCATCGTCCGCAAACAAGAACTCCCGCAGCAAGACCTTTCTTGTTTTAGTCTTAGCTCTAAGGCGGGAAAATGTTGAATAATTTGCCGTCATCTCTAGTGTGGATGTTTATCCCCTCGCTGTTGTTTTGAAAGGCATACTGGAGTAGGATGGAGAAAAATATTGCAAATAAAGTAGGAGCCAGCACGCAACCTTGCTTTACTCCACTACTCACTGGAAAAGCTTCTGAGGCGGCACCGTTATAGCACACTGTGCCCTGCATGTTTTCGTGGAACTGCTTGATGATGTTAAGCAGTCGTGTAGGGCAGCCTATCTTTTTGAGGATCTGAAACAGGCCGCTTCTGCTGACAAGATCAAAAGCCTTAGTGAGGTCGACAAACGCAATGTATAAAGGCATATGTTGCTCCCTGCACTTCTCCTGCAGCTGGCGCAGAGAGAAGATCATGTCAATGCAACTCGGGCGAAAGCCTTTCCAACTATGCTGAGGAGGGAGATTCCACGATAGTTGTTGCAGTCACTCTTGTCTCCTTTATTTTTGTACAATGTAACGATGTTTGCATCTTTCAACTCTTGTGGAGCGGTTCCTGTTACCAGGACAGAGTAAGGAGATCATGCAAGGGCCGTAATAGTACTCCTTGTTCACATTTGAGAGCTTCTGGTGGAATACCATCATTGCCCGGGGCTTTCCCACTGGCGAGACAATCGATGGCTCTACTTAGCTCTTCTATTGTGGGTAGGATATCAAGCTCCTCCATGACCGGCAAGTCTGGGATATCTTCCAGGGCAGCGGTTGAGACATACTTTATCGTTGCGTATATTTCCAAGTAGTGCTCTATCCACCGCTTATGTTGTTTATTTCGATCAGTAATAATTTCCCCTGATTTGGACATTAAGGGCGCAGTCTTGGAGATCAGAGGGTCTGTTGCTTGCTTTATATTCTCGTACATTGACTTTGCATCACTTCTATCAGCAGCTGATTGTATGCTGGAGCTTAGATTGAGCCAGTATGTCTTAGCGTAGTGGCGAGCTGCCTGCTGGGCATTTATACCGCGCTAGATAAGACCTCTTATTATTATTATTATGTGCATAAAAATGACATCCTTAAGACCATTGAATTTCAACCAAAAATAAAAGAACTCTGCAAAAAAATTACGCAAACGATTATGTTAATTTATATTAAATAATTTATTCTATCTATCTGTCAATAATGATATTTTTCATCCTCAGTGATGATTTATAGTTTATTTTTCATTAAGATTGAATCTATTATTGATTTTGAATGATTTTGTTTTATATAACAATAAATTGAATTCATCAAAGTTTAACTTTATTGCATGTTCATTTTAAGTTTTTATTCCTCTTTGTGAGTTGGTGGAAAGCAGGACGTGTCTGCCGCCCCCCCCCCCCCCCCCCAAAAATTTTTTGAGCATGAGTCGAGTGACCTCTTCGCCTCCCTTCTCACGGCCCAAAAATGTTAGGGGTCCCAGCACATTGCTGTGCCCAGGAGCTTCTATGTTGTTAAGACGGCCCTGGTTGGTGATCAATGGAAGCTTAAACATTTTATGATAACAATATCCGTGACATATCAACTAGCTATTTTATATTTTTAATAATACATGGACATTGAATACATCGTAATGAAAATAGAAAGAACACCTTAAAAATTAAATGACTCTCTCCATTTATTTTCTTTTGAAAAAAATATATTTAAAAAGTGAATATTTTATTAGGATAAAAGTGATTGTACAGATTTAGTTATTTCAACGCACAGGTGTTTCCATATGTGTTACGTTCACAATTCAAAAAAGGACAATTTCATTATTACAACATTCTCTACACAAGAAATGGGTAAGACTGGGAAGTCTTGTCTCTTAAACATAGTTTTAAACTTGAAATTTATTACCAGCCATCTACAAAAGGTTCAAGAAATAACACTAGCAATGAAAAAACTAATTATTGAACAATTTGTAGTCAAAATGAATTTTAATTGAAATAATAAGCATATCATTCTTTAAATTTTACTTACTTTATAAAAATTCAAAGTAAAGTCGCCTTTGTTTATGTTGATTTATTTATTTTGAATTGCTTCAAATTAGAAATCAATGAGCCAAAAAAATAAATATATAATTAGATTAAATTTATAAGCGCTTTACGAACGAATCATTCGACATACCTAACCAACTCAATGAATAAATATTAAATCATTGCATACATTTTTATATTTCCGCATTGTAATGATAATGTAATATGAAATTTAAAAAAAAGTTAAAATACGAAATGTATGCGAATATTATAAACACACAATAATAGAAGAATAGAACATTTTTTACACACGGTAGGTATAAATAATGAAAGATGAATATAATAATGAATCGTGAACCATTCATTTCTTTATCCCTTGCACGAAAATAGCTGATTCACATTACATTTGTAATTACTTTTTCCTTCAGCATGAGGAGAAATGTGTTATTTGTTTTGATATATTTTTTTTCTAAAATGTTTGTTCTTCTAAAATTCTAAGCTACACTTTCCTTAAAACGGGAATTGAAGAAAATTATGTTAATCTGGTCGAACTTAAATTTGAAGAGTGCAAGGCTTGTTCAGTTTTCCGATTGATATTCATTGATGTTTTTATAGTTCATGCCTGTTTACAATTATAAATATTCGTTATAGGCTACTCAAGTTATAGGCCACTCAAGTTATAGGCTACCCAAGGTATAGGCTACTCATGTTATAGGCTACCCAAGTTATAAGGTACTCAAGTTATAGGCCACTCAAGTTATAGGCCACTCAAGTTATAGGCTACTTAAGTTATAGGTTACTCAAGTTATAGGGTACTCAAGTTATAGGCTACTCAAGTTATAGGCCACTCAAGTTATAGGCTACTTAAGTTATAGGTTACTCAAGTTATAGGGTACTTAAGTTATAGGCTACTCAAGTTATAGGCCACTCAAGTTATAGGCTACTTAAGTTATAGGCTACTCAAGTTATAGGCCACTCAAGTTATAGGCTACTTAAGTTATAGGTTACTCAAGTTATAGGGTACTCAAGTTATAGGCTACTCAAGTTATAGGCTACCCAAGTTATAGGCTACCCAAGTTATAGGCTACCCAAGTGTTATATTTTAAATGTTTTTATTTCAAACAAGTAACATAAACATATATACATAAATACAAGTTCTCAATCAGGTGTTGACTTTCTGCATGCGTCCGTAACACGGTTCATAAACACACACACTCTCTCCCGTGTCTCTGCGCATGCGAGCTGTTTCACCTGGCTGGCTATCGGTACTGTCCAGTCCGCTAGTCAACCATAACACCAAGTTATAGGCTACCCAAGTTATATACTACCCAAGTTATAGACTACTCAAGTTATAGACTACTCAAGTTATAGGCTACTCACGTTATAGGGCACTCAAGTTATATGCTACCCAAGTTATAGGGTACTCAAGTTATGGGATACTCAAGTTATAGTCTACTCAAGCAAAAAAAAATATCATTCAAAATTATGTTTTGACTAATGTAGAAGATTGTGCATCACAATTCTATATTTCAGACTACAAGCCAAATAAAAGTTTGGGAATTTTCGAAAAAGGACTTTTCAATTTTCAATTATTTGATAAAATAGTATAAATTCTTCCCAGTTCATGTTTAAAGTAGATAATTTTGTGACGGGATATTCTTTTGAGTGCTAACAACATTTTTGTTTGATATGGTGACAGGGCCGGCTCAAAATACCGGCAACTTGTGTAGCTGGCCGGGGCGCCATGTTCTTAGCGCGCCATCAACCATCTTCCAAAAATAGTAAATATCATTGCATGTGAGCGCCATGGAAGGAAAGTAGAAAGTGCAAGAAAATTTTTGCTGATCTAAATGCTACAAAAATGTCATCGATAGGATAATTGTTCATTGTGTACAAATACAAAGTTAACATATTTTTTTTCATTCTAAGTTTTTAAAAAACAAAAAAACAAAAAAACTAGGGAATAAACTCATTAACTAATCCCCAGTTTTTTCCTTGCACAAAAATTTTATGATTATCCTTAAAAAGGGTGCCAGCGTAAAGCTTGCACGCGGCGCACAAATTAAGCTAGCCCGGAATGCCAGTAGGGCCGGTTATGCTTGGTGACAAAATCATATAGAACCACTGATAAATGGATTATGAAGAAGAACGGGTTATAGAAGATTTGCACTGGCTGTTTTTGTTACTGAATGTTAACAATATACTTTATGAAATCTGAATATACAAGCTTTGTATAGGCAAAAAATATTCATATTGTGCAATATTCATACATAGATGGAGGTTAGGAAGAAAAAGTAAAGAGGGAGATGACAGAGAAACCATCACATGTTGAGGATCAAATTACTACTTTGATACAAATTATATAAAAAACAGTATTTATTTGAATAAAGAAAGATTAAAGTCAATAAAAAAAACTCATCAAAGTCCTCATCATATACTTAAAACGTCTATTTCAAAAAAAAAAAAGAAAAAAAAAAAAAAAATTTAATTGCAAAAAAAAAAAATAAAACAAAAAAAAAAAAACACAAAAAACCCCTAAAAATATATTAAAAACTTATATTAAAAAAAAAAAAAAAAAAAAAAAAAAAAAAAATTTCATTGCAAAAGAATTAGCTATTTAATTTATAACTCTTTGAAATGTGTACAATTCTCAAGGTAATCAATGATTTGAGTGTCAATTTTTTAGAATTTGCAAAAAAAAATAAATCTATCAAGTCATTACATATGTGTAACTTGGTAAAAATTGTTAAATTTTTCTTAAACACACTCACTGAGAGTATATTTGAATTTTTTTTTAAAATGTATGTTTTGAAATGAAAAGTATGTTAGTAAAAGAAATTTTTTTCACATCCACGTTCCATTTTTGTCCAAAGTGCTTTTTAAGTGTATCTTTCATAAGATCATGCACTTTATTGTACGGTGCATTGTTTTTTATTCCTTTCATCTTCTAATTTTCTTTTCATCTCTTCTTGTGCTTGAAATAGTATTTGCATCTTTTCATAATTTTCTTTCAAATTTTGAGCTGTTTCTTTTGTAAAGTTTTTCCTTTCTGCAGACATTTTTTTGTTCCTATTTATATCCGTTTCAAGTTTCCCTTTTAGTGACCAAACTGTGTCTTGTATGGCTTTGAAAACATCCGTTCCTTGGTCTTCTTTAATAATTCCATTGATTAATTCTTGGACAGTTTCCAACGTTTTCGTCAACATTGGCACTTGATCATCTGGTTCATTGCGTTCAATCTTTTCTATTTCAGACATCAGATTACTTATTTTGGACATAAATCTTTTCTTGGTGCTGTCTGAGCCCAACTGTACCAACAATGCTGTGCGAGACTTTAAAGCCTTTTGAAAATAATAATTGGTATAGCGACGATTTTTGGCGGCAATCCGGTCAACAAGTGCAATAAGCTCGTCAACTTGTTTTTCTTTCTTCTTCGGGTCTTTCGTCATGTTATCAAACAAGACGACTCTGAAACCGCAATCATGGAAGACATCTTGGATACTCCCAGATTGCTCATCAATCCATTTTTGAAAATCAAAATCATTTTCTTCAGCTTCAAACGTATCCCCGTTTGTCATGACTAATACGCAGAAGTTTCTTATAAAATCTTCCCCAAAAATCTGTTTCAGCATGTGTATTGCATCGCTCTCTTCTTCGGTAAATCTAATTCCATACTTTGCAACTAATATGCAGGCGTTGTAGCCTCGAGGATTATTTTCAACTGCCTCTTGTAATTTTTCTGTAATTTTCCTCATAGTGCTACCATTAACTACTTCACTCAGGGCGGCTGTATCTAGCACACCAGGTGTGTCCACCACGTTTAGAATCGTGTCTTTAAATATGCTAGACCTTCTCTCTATTCCATTGGTAACAGAAGATGATTTTGTGCTAGCAACAAATGCCTTATAGCCAAGGATTGAATTACCAGTTGCACTTTTTCCATTTCCCCTTTTTCCAAGTAGAAGAAGGTCATATTCTTTAGCGGGCTATAAAGAAATAAAAAAGTAAAACGTTTTTTATTTCATAGCAATAAAATTTTTTAAAAAAATCAGAATTTTGATTCATTTCTAATTTTCGGCAAACCGCCGCTGGAGACAATTGAATGTACAGATGTATATAAGAGACAATGAAGGGTATATATTATAGATAAGACAATTATAGATAAGACAATGGAACGTATAGACGTATAGATGAGACAATCGAACGTATATATGTAAAGATTAGACAATGGAACGTATATTTGCATAAAGTACAGGAGAGAGAACGCAGCCTTGTGGTGCCCCGGTGCTTATTTCTCTGTTAGAGATACTTGGTTATTTACCTTGACATATTGTGGTCGATTTTTTAAAAAGTTCAGTATCCAAGGCTGAATATTTAAATTGACACCTAGCGAGGAAAGTGTTAAATGCTGATGAGAAGTCTAAGAAAAGCACTCTGGTATATGTTTTGGACTGTCTAGGTGGTGGTAAAGTCTCTCCAACAATAGTAAGATTGCGTCCTCCGTACTTCTGGCAGTTTTGCAAGAAAATTGATGGGGTCAAGTTTTTGCTGTACTTCATTCAAAATTTCTTTCAGAATTATTTTCTCAAAACATTTCATGACAATAGAGGTAAGTGCAACAGGTCGTAAGTGTTGTTTTGCATTACCTTAATTTTCTTTAGTATTGGTATGATTTCTGAAGTTTTCCAAATAGCTGGTGTTGTGTGAGTTACATAAGATTTATTAAATATGTAAGTAAGCATGTAGGAGAGCTGCTCTGAACATAGTTTAATGAGCCGACCACTTAATTTGTCTGGTCCAGAGGCCTTGGCTGCGTCAACTTGGTTAAATAATGACATCACTCTCTGCTCGGTAAACAATAAACCACCATCCTGTGTACTACCCCCAACTTGAAATGAATTCATCATCTCATTTTGTACTCTTCCAAAGTCCAGGCTGTCAAAACGACAATAAAAGTCATTTAAGTCGTTAAAAAAATTCCTCACGTCCTCAACACATAAGCATTCTCGCTTAGGAGTATATCCTGTTATTTGCTTGAGTCCTGGCCAACAAGCCTTTGATTTATTAGTAGTGAATAATTTTTCGATTTTTTGCTTGTATTGTTTTTAACTCTGATACATATTTTCTTTCAATATTTTTTTTTAGCTCTAATGAATTCCTGATCGTTAATCTTAAACACGATCTTCTTGTGGTGTATAGCCTCCTTTATTTCTCTGCTCATCAAGGGTTTGTTCTTGTTGAATACTCGGATTGTTTTTTGTGGAATAATTTCGTCTACACAGAACTTAATGTAGAAATTGAAGGTGTTTGTTAGCTCGTCAATTTCCGGGCAAGTGTTTATAAACGCGTCCCAGTCTGTACATTCCAAGCAAGCCTGAAGTTTTTCTGTCGCCTCATCTGACCACAGTTCAATATTTTTTTATTGAATTTTTGTTGTTTTTAAAACTGGCTTATAGCATGGCGTTAGGCGGACCATTGTGTGATCGGATTCTCCAAGTGGAAATAAAGCACTACGTGTGTAGGCCTTTTTATATTCCTATAACACATATCAAGAGTTCGGTCTTGTCGCGTGGGGCAAGTAACGTACTGGATGTATGTTGGCATGGATTTATTCAGTGATAGTTGATTAAATTCCTCCTTAACAAGACGAACAGAGTATGGGTTTTTTGTTTCGAAATCATGGATTACATCCAAAAGTCTCTCATAAGCCTGTTTTTTGTTAGCACTAGGTGGAATGTAAGTGGGGATGATACAGATTTGGGTGAGCTTCCTTTGTAGGTAAAATGGCCTTAAAGTAATGCAGAGTAGTTCTATGTCTGGTGTACAAACTACATTTTTCACTGTACTGTTGTTGATGCTACATTAGTTTTTGTTAATATATATTGCCAATCCTCCTACCTTGGATTTGCCGCTGTCGGTTGTTCTATCGGCGCGGAAAAAGTTAAATTTGTCCAATGTCACTGCTGAATCTGGTACTGTTTCGTTCAGCCATGTTTCTGTCAGACATGTTAAAGAGCTTTCGCGAAATTGATAGAAATGCTTTCAGCAACAATCCAGTTCATCCATCCTGTTACACAGTGACCTGACATTCCCCAAAACAACAGGTGGAAGAAAGCCCTGCTGTCCTCTGTTTCTGCGTTTTACACGAATGCCTCCCCTTCTTCCCCGCTTTCTTCGTCTCAGTCGTGAATCGGTCGCCATTTTTTTGTTGGCATGGCGGAGGTTTACAGAAATGGCGGATGTGACATTTCTTTACTATGCTGAGTTACTTGATATCTAAAGTCCAAATTAAATCTGTTTCCCACGAAGTGAAAAAACAAAAAAAAAAACTCACGAGAAAATCATCCTAGGCTCATCCATTTGAACTTGAGTGAAAATACAATTAAATAAAACGTGTAAAACTGTGAAACGCTGAAAAAGATGCACTGGTGCAATTGAGTCGCCTGAAGAGAAGCGCCCAGGAATTTAAAAAAAAAAAAGGATGTATAAATGAGACAATTTAACGTATAGATGTATATATGAGACAATGGAGGGTATAGATGTATAGATAAGACAATGGAACGTAAAGACGTAGAGATGAGACAATGGAATATATAGAAGTATAGATAAGACAATTAAAGGTAAAGATATATAGATGGAAAAATTGAACGTATAGATGTATAAATAAGAATATTCAACGTATAGATGTATAGATGAGACGATTGGACGTATAGATGTATAGATACGACAATGGAACATATAGATGAGACGGTTTGAACGTATATATATATATATATATATATATGAGACAAGTGAACGTATGGATGTATAGTTAAGACAATGGGACTTATAGGTGTATAGTTGAGACAATTGAACGTATAGGGTATAGATGAGAGAATTGAACGCATAGATGAGACAATTGAATGTATAGATGTATAGATTAGACAATGGAACCTATAGATGTATACGTTTGACAATTAATCTTATAGATGTATAGATTAGACACTTGAACGTATAGATGTATAGATGAGACAATTGAACGGATTTTTGTATGGATGGAGACACTGTTATTACTAATCTAAAATAACCGCTAACTTTAAACAATCCATTCCAATATTCTGCTCACAAAATATTTTCACAGTAGACAAGATATTTTACAATGGCTTTTCATTCAAAAACGTTTGTCAAACTCTTACATTGGTTTACTACAAGCATTTTTTACAATGTATGTATACAACAGTAGCGAGTACCCGGTATGCGTTGCAATGCCACCCAAAGAAATAAAAGGTTTGTTTTTTAATTATTTTTTTGAAGTACTTTTTATAAACACATTTTTTTTTTTTGACTCTCTGGTGCGTACTGAAATAAATAAAAATGTTTTTCGAAACGTGAGCAGGCCAGACACAGCTGTCCATGTGAGAAGAATGGATTTTTAAAATTTAGTCCACACATCCGTAGCGATTGATCCACCCATGCAATAGCTATGTTTGAAAATAAATTTATATAGCTCATTTAGAACATAAAAACAAAATTACGGGCCTCTGCTCCAAACGGAATATTGTAAAATGGAAGTACTAAATCTGAAAAATACTTATTATGCTACATAAAAACGGCAATGTCAAAGTTTGTATTTGATTAATTTCCATCCACTCATGCAATTGGTTAGTTTGAAATTGTATTTGCAAGCTCATTTAAGGAAAAAAAAGAATTTAGGGCCCCGGACCCAAATGGAATGTTATAAAATAATTGTAATTATTCAGAAACCTTTGCGTGCGTGCTCACAACATCTTACTAAATGGTATAGAAACTCATATCAGAAAATAAACGAATTTAGGGCCAACGGCCCAAAACGGAATATTTTAAAAGGGCTGTAATAATTTAGAAAAATGAGCGGCCTTGTGGACAACAACTCACCAAGTTTTATTGCAATCACATGAATGATGTAGGAGCGCCTACGGGACATACATACATAAATTCATATATATATATATATATATATATATATGTATATATATATATAATATATATATATAAGAAACTGAATATTGATTTTGTTATTTATTGTTTTAATATACTTCTTATATCATTTAATTTTCAATGCCTAAGGTGCATACAGCTAAAGGTGAATTGAGCTAAAGATTTAAAATTAATATTTTAAAAAGTATTTGTGATTATTTAACATTTGTTTTTTCACTTTAACAAAATATTTTTGTTAGTATTTGTATTGATTATAATTTTTGTGGTTATTTTGTCGCAATCCATGCCCAGGCTAAATGAGATCATTTGCATGAAGTTAAGGACAAGAACAAATAAAAATTTAGTTTTATTAAACAGATCATAGATTACTTGGCATCAGGGTCAAGCCAAACTAACAAGGTGGCTAGATATTTCGTTTTGCAAAGTAAAATACTCACTGCTGTAAAACATTTATGTTAAGGTTTTGGGCACCCAGCGAGGGGTGCCTGACAATATAGTTTAAAAGTCAAACTCTTTGCAAATTCCCTCCCATTGTAATGTGCTATATTTGAAAAATTAATTTCAATGTTTAACTGAATAATTTGAATAGTTCCCCTTTCTTAGATATAACTCAAAGGGCCCGTTTCAAATGATGAGATTATTTCAATTTAGTTGATAAACGACAAGAGCTTTGGCATTAGTGAGTATCTTTTCCTTAAAAAAAAACATATTTTAAAAATTAGATTTAGATCTAGTTTTTAAATCCTGGTTGAATATTAACTAACAGAGGCTGGACCCAAAGTTCAATGTTTCCGAGTTCTCAGAAATTTAGCTTTTGTATAGTAAATTATAAAAGAATAATAAATTCATTGGTAATTTTTGACCTAACAGTACAAACGGAAAACAAACCGAAAACAGACCCAAGCGAAGATTAGCTTATCAATGCAAACATATTCTTTAAATAAATGGAAGTAAACGGTGTATCATTTAAAAAACGACCATTTATTGCGATACATATTTGGGGGGTGGGGGCGTATATTATTTCAAGTTTCACATAGTTCAGTGGCCTATTTAGGGCTTACCGCCGTATGGGTTCTGTTTTTAATATTTATATAATATTAACTGAAACGGGATTTGTCAATTCAAAACAAAATTTATATAATAATATTTACTTGAGCGATGTGTTTATGACAACGTGTTTGCTTATAACGCTTTATAAGATTGTGTTCCGAATACAAACCCGAGAAAAGCTGGGTATATTGGCTAGTTAAAAAATAATTAAAACTGAATATGCCCAAAGAGAAGTACACCCTGACAAGCATATAAAAACAATAAAGTAGTAGAAATCCATGGTCAGTTTTATGTCCTATAAATGTATCGCTGTAAAGTATACTATTTTTATATCCATGGCAGTGTTCGCGGAAACCTTTTTGAGTGTGAAGCACTTAATTATATTTAGAACAACGCATGTAGGGATGGAGTGTTTAAAGTTAACGGTTATTCCACATAAGGAATAAAATTTATTCCCGCCCCCCCCCTTTTTTTCATCATATTTCATACACCTTTGGATTGTACAGAAATTTATTTTGAACAGGTATAGGAAATATCCATCAATGCAGCCTAAACTATTTCACCTGACAAATGAAATTAATTAACTTAAAACGGTGGGTGGGGCGGCTAAAAAACCAATCGAACCTGTCTGTAAAATGTTAGACATGGCGTGGCGGACTGGGCATTAACGGTCATTCTCTCGAAAACCTGGAAAAGCAACAGCAGTCATTATTAACGAACGACCAAACTACTTCACGAGCACGGTCTGGGCATTGAATTATTTTAGGAAAATTTCAGAGTGGGATGCAAGGCTTGTAGCCTCAGGGACGATATCTTTTGGTTTATGTTAGGCCTTATTGGTGTCACCTTAGTAAACTGAAAGTTACGTTGGTTGAGCAAGGGTTGATGATGAACGTTTTCATTTTAAGATGAGCGATTACCATCGATAAACGAGTTTTTATGTACTTGAATGTGTGTACATATGTTATTTTTTTATTGGTTTCGTAACCTATGTATATTGCTTAGAAGGGGATAGTAACTGAATATGTAAGCAGGCTGCAAACGAACTTAGCAAAAATTTAATTTAATACATACCGTTGGCTTTGTGCCTTCTGAGGATGTCATTTGTGAATTGTCTTTGATATTCATAGACATCGATTTCTCCTATAGATTAAAAAAAAACCTGTCAAATTAGTTTTAGTATTAATTTCTTTAATACAGACGTTATAAAATATTATATTTCATATGTTGATGAATGAACGTTTACAAAATACTATATTAATGAATTAGTGTGTTTATTCATACATATTATTATTTTGATCAGAAAAAGGTCGCATCTTAACACTGTTTTGTTAAAAGATGACAACCCATTTGACTAAAGCAATTAATAATAAAATGCGTATTAATCTTATGAAATATTCTCGATTTATCTATAATAAATTGAATATATTTAATTTAAAGTCATCTAAAGACGCCATTTCTGAACTGTCACTGATTTCCTTAAATTTTGATATCTAATCTAATTTTAAAAAAAAATAATAAAAAACAATAATTTGCAAAGGATTCAGTTGTTAAAATATTCCATTAAACGCTGTTGATGGATTAATACACCAAGAATTTTGGAAACAATATATCATTACGTTATATAAGAGATTGACAGGCTCAGAGAGAGACGGAGATTGATAGATATTCTTAACTATACGAGACAATTATATTATTCTTTGTGTGCTCATATGTGTTATTCGCATTCTTCATTCATCATTATTAATTGGCACATTGTACTAATTGTGTACCGGTACAAGATTTTCCAATACTCTGTAAGTTGATGATTTTTAATTATATTTTCTTTTGTTTTCTAATTACTTAAATAAATCTTATTAATTGTAATTATAATTGGTACTGTTTTAGGTGTCGTATTTTGTTATTATATTTCTATATGGTATCGTCCTTTGTTAGGCAATGTTTGAACAAGCCATAAATTTAAAATAGGAGATTTATTTCTCACAATAGAAGGCAGTGCGTAACAACATTTTCAAAATTAAATTGTAAACATTTCTATATTAAAATAAAATAAGGTCAAGAAATTATTCTTTAACGTGACGGAGGCACATCGTTATAAAAACAGATTTCAAAATTAAAGTCAACTCTCATCATCTTTCTTGTTCCCTTTACCAGCGATTGGCGTGAGCTAAGCTAGCACATGTAGACAGCAACGAAACGTAGCATGTTTTAACAAGAAACGTAACACATTTTTCCCAAAGCGTGTCAATAAATAAGGCTATGGGTAAATGTTTTCCAGGGAAATGCCGTTCCCTTGGCAAAGAGGTAAACGGAAGCCATTGTCTGCACGCTTACCTGACTTTCTAAATAAGTTTGTCAGTAAGTCAAACTATCTGACTCCAAGTCTATCCCCCAGTAAATTAGTCAGTCAGTCAGAAAATTCGACTGGCCGTTTGTCTATTTATATTCATCTATCCGTCTATTTATATGTCAGTCTGCTATGTGTACGTCTGAGTATGTGTTCGTTAGTCTCTATGTCCGTTTGTCCCCGTTTGTCCGTAAAATTCTCTTACTTTCAAATGTATAGTTTTAAGAAATGTTGAAATTTTGGTCATGAAGTTGACTTTTTAAATCTTAAGAGATGCAGACATTTAAAGAAACAAATAATAACGCCATCTTACATCAGCACCATGTTTTTCAAAATTCTTAAATGTAACCTTGGTTTAAAAATAAACATAAAAAAGAACTGATAAAATTTAAAAAAAATAATTCAAGTCTACTCTTGATCAAGCCGTCACTGTTTAGATATTTGACCATTTGACACATAATGCTTTTTTAAAGGTTTAAAAAAACCCACAATAACCAGTTACAAAAGGCAACAATCTTACGATCTATGCATGCCCTTAATATTAAAAAGTGTAAACTATTAATTTTAATATTCAAATCTACTGAATATCGAAAGCTAAGCATTTTATGAAACCAGATTTATCAAGAATCTAAAACGAAAAAAACTTTGTTAAAAAGAAAAAAAAAAAAAAAAAAACAAATTGAAAAAAAAAAACCACCAAAAAACCCCCCAAACAAAAAAAAAAAAACAAAAAAAAAAAAAAACCAAGACTTTTAATATACCAATTTTTTATCTGTTGAATTTTTGGCTTGTGTCATCTTGTCCAAAACAAGCAGTACTCAACTTTTTCTGTGTGCCTTGACACCTTGATAATATTTGCACTCCAACTAAACTGAAAGTATATCAGGCGGCTGTTCTCCCTACGCTTCTCTATGCCTGTGAAACGTGAACGGTTTACCAACGCGATGTAAGAATGCTAAACCTCTTTCACACAACGTGAAAAGATATCAACATTTAATGTCAGGACAGAGTCAGACAGACATTTGTGTGATCACACAGGCGTTTCTCAAAGGCATCCTTACCATCTTAATAAAGTCCCAGTTTCAATGGGCGGAACATATTGCTAGGATGTCAGACGACTGTCAACACAAAATAATTGTCTATGGTGAGCTCGAACAAGGAAAGCGGTCTGCTGGCAAACAAAAGAAACGTTTTAAGGACAACCTAAAAGACTTATTCATAGCGTTTGACATAAACCCAGCCCCGTGGGAGGAAAAAGAAGAGGATAAAAAGTCATGGCGCTACACAGGAGCTCCATACGACAAAACAGTGAGAGTGCAAGAGACATGCCAGGAAGGCCTGGTCTGACTGCTCCTGGAGATGCCCCATCACACCCCTGAACCTATTGCACAATAACATTTTTGCCAGAATCGGCCTCATTAGCCATATGGGTACGCAAAGACAGAACTAGCACAAATCAGATGATTAAAGTGTTCAAGATCGACTCCCGACTGACGTACAACAATATTTGCAAAGTTGTGGTAAACCATACAGAGGATAATTCTAGTAATTGAAAGCCACTACCCTAGACAGTCCTTATATTATGGAGCCGATTCAAAGGTTGATTATTCCTGAGAAATTCCTACCATAAAGTTTTTTTTTTCACCAGGAAAATAAATGTACATAATTTATTCCATTCTAGAGGCGTTCCTTATAATAAGGACATTTTTTGCCGTCAAGCATAGAACACATACGAGGTACTCGGTTAAAATAAAACCTTGAAGGTCATTGCAACTATTTTCGTCGTTAATATTCTAATAAGCATGTGTCGCTTAGCCAGTCACCTAATTTTAGTATTTAAAATTACTTCTTTTAAAAAATTTCGGACACGAACACTTATTGCAAGGTAATATTGTAGTATGGTTAATTTTTTAATAATAAAAAATGATACATTTTAGGGTAGCAAGTATAAATTAAAGTACTTTGTAAAAAATTGATACCACAGACACATTTTTAATTATAAAATAATGTTTTAAATCTGTATGTTCTCAATGTTTCGAACTTGAAATTTTTCGTCAGTAGGCCACTGAAAAGTATTTGGTAAAAAAATCTGGAAGCTCATCATGGAGTGGAGTGCTACTAAGAAATCCAAGGTATTTCTAAATAAACAGTTTACTTTGTTCAAGTAAGAGTCACATTTGGAACATTCCAATATTGAGTTACCATGGATTTGTAAATATACGTGAAACACTTTATATTTGTTTAATCTATAAAAATATTGCCTTTCACGAGATTAATTAACGTTAATGCAAATGATGTATTAATTTTATTTAAATAAAATATTTCAAGCTTGCTTTTCTTAAAAACATGTCGCTACCATATACATCACACGAAGGGTAAAATTATGCAGTGGCGTACCTTACCTTCCTGAACCTCTTACTTTCTATTCACCTTTTGGAAAGCTTCGTTCCTCCGAAGACACGCGTATTCTTTCTGGTCCTAGAACACGCAATAAATCTTATGGTAAACGATCTTTCTCTTGCTGTGCCTGAAAATAATGCAATTCTCTCATATTACACATCCGCAATGTAACAGACCATCACAGCCTTCAAAACTGCCCTTAAGATCCATCTCTTTAAACTGTACTATACCGACTCGTTCTAACCCAGATAAACAACACTCGTTTCTGCTGGGTGCTGTCCATGGCTAGACAGATGGATAGTACTTGGGTGGGAGAGGTCAAGCATTTCACCAATTGTGGTTTTGAAATGTACACGTTTCCGTAATTGCTAATTTTTTTGTGAAGCGCAGTGGGTCAATCTCTAGGCTGGGTTACTGAGCTATGTAAAAGTACTTAATTATACGAATAATAATCTAAATGGTCTTATGGGGTAGAATCCAACAACATTTGGATATAACGTTATAAATAAACAACCAAAAGCGCCCTCTTTGCACCCCATGGGCACGCCATTAAATATATGAACATGATAAACATTTGAACATTTATTTCATATCCCAGCAAAATTAATCTTACTGTGCTTTGCGTGTCGTTATATACTGAATTCTATAGACAGAAAAATAAAATGCCACCCAAAGTATTTAATCAACAATAAATTAATAAATTAAATTATTTTAGTATATAATATTTAGTGTGCAATTTTTAGTATCTGCAACTAAAAACTATTATCATACCATAATTTTCTAATTTTTTTTTACTAATTCTTTCCATTTTTTTTCTAAAGTTTGAAGATTTTTTTTTTTCATTCATTTTACAAAAAAATTAAAGATAAACCTTATCTTTAAAAAAAAATCAAACTTTCGTCAATATCAATAGTGATCACTTGAATTTGTCTCCATTATTTGTCTCATTTTCATATCAGCTGTCTGCTGAGGAAGGCTCTGAGACGAAACGTTCTTCTCTTATTTTCTTGTCTTTTGATTCAAGCGTCCACACAACTTGTCTATTTCCTTCAAACGGCTTGAAGGCAGTCCTTCATTTATTCTGCTTCTTAAGCACACTTAAAGTCGATGCAAAAAGTTCAAAGTTCTCCCACGATCACGAAAGTGGCTGTGTTTATTTCAATCGCACGATTGTATGATTAACTTAAAGCCCCACGGATGATCGTAACTCTTAGAATCTACTGTCTCATTCCACTAGTCGACAGCCTGGAGCTCTCATTGTCTCATGTCATCCACTCTCATTCTCTCCTTCCTCTCAACCGCTTTCGTTTTGTCAACCCCACACCAGACAATTTCCATAAACCCTACATTTTGGTACGCAACAACACACTCTCTTCCTCTTCGACCACACCTGCACCTACCTTAATCTCTTTCGCCTACCCTTAATCTCTTTCGCCTACCCATAATCTCTTTCACCTACCCTTAATTTCTTTCGCCTAACCATAACCTCTTTCACCTACCCCATTTACCTGATGAATAATTTTACACTTACCCCAACTCATTCTTGCACTTACCCCCAACTTAAGCCACATGTTTTCATGAACCTGCCTCCACCTTTTTTTTCCCCAAACTGCATTTAGCATTAAATGAACGCCTAACATTTTTCCTGTCCTCTCAATACAAGTAAATGACTGTCCTGAAACATCAACTCTTAATTTTCCTCTTCAACCTCTCTCACAAACTTACTTCTGATTAAAGTAATCATCTCCTACAACAATTATACATATTATAATCTTATTATTCCCAAAATATTCTCAGAACATACATTGATCTCACCCCAATGCCGGTCTTGCTCTTATCATGTCCATGTAAACCATCACACATGCTACACATTTCCTTGCGAGCCTCTGGATCCTTAAACATACCTCTTTCTTCAAACATTCTGCTCATTTACTTATCTAAACACCACGGTACTCTTATCACTCCACTAGATACAATTCTATTTAAAAGTAATTAAATGTACTTTGAACCTTTCCATTTAGTTTTCTGAGGAAATTGACTTACTGTTACCTGGAAAAACTGGAGATGGAAAGAGTTCAACAGGAAACACAATACTAGGATACAAAGCCTTCCAAGAAGGATCTAGCATGAATTCTGTTACCAAACATGTGACATGGGACGTGGCTAAATACAAAGAGTACATATAATAGTCACACTTTCATTGTATAAAAGGTGACAAGAAGAAGGGGGTGTGCGTTTATATAAATGAGCACATTGAAAAAGGAAAACACAATGAATTTAACATTTAAATAAATCTATTCTTGACAAGTCATTACTGGTGACACGATGATAAGCTTTAACAAAAGAAGTGATATGATTTAAATTTGAAGTTTGCAAATTATTTTCACGACTAGACATAAACCGGAAAGCAATGGCGGCGACAATGCGTGTACTTCCCAACTACTAATGTTACTGAACATTTAATCGATATGCCCTTAAAAAGAATCCAAATGAGTGCAACCTTCTGTGTTATGAAAAAAATGAGCGCGCCTATTGAACACAGCATTGCAGCTAATATATATATTATACATCTAGCGAATTATTACATATATATAAGAATGAGCTAGAGTGAAATAACGCCAAAGAGCCTATACAGTTCAAGTACGTTGGGGTTCCTAAAAACAATCATTGTTATTTTCTATTATTTTACTGGAATCGAATAAATGTAAATGCACAAAAATATTTGAAATCCGCATTTATTTTATTAATAAATAAAGTTATATTAATATACATTACAAATACATTTAAAGTTTCAATTAAGGAACTATTTTAACCATTTTATATGTGTTTGAACAAAATAAACAAATAAAAAAAAAATCATGATCAAAGAAATATACCGTAATCACATTAATCGGTAAAACCCAATCATCGGTTGTTTTTAGTGCGTTTTTAGTGAATTGTTAATAATGCGAAATAAAATTACGTCATAGCGTGAATCGCCTATTTTAACCAAAACTATTATATATTTTTGATTTAATAACCGCGCGTTACAAAGCTGATAATGTATTTCCCCCTCCTTAAAAGTAAAATTATGCAATACATACCTTTGATTTTATTTATCTAAAGATGACCTTTCTCAAAATGCCCTGATTTCCTTAACTGTTGATAACTCTTTCAGTAAATCAATTCATTAACTCTTGTTTGAGTAGCTTTACAATGAGACGTTAAAAGTTCAACATAAAATAACCGTGATACGTAACATACCATAAATATTTGAAACAATTTATCACACAACAAATAGGACTTTGGACAGTTTATCCATATCTCATAAAAAATAATTTTAGGACGTGCACAAACAAAGAAAATTTTTTTAAAAATGTATATAAACTTTTTGAGAAAATGATATCTTTTTCATTGCGTGTTTAAAATAGGAAAGTTACGCTCAATCTCTTATCACTGCGCGATGATTGGTTTTGGCGCATACAATAATTATAGATTATTTAGTGTAACATTGCCTAAAAATGTTTTAAAAAAACCGAGATAACGTAGATAACGTAGATAGTATATTTCAAATCTATTTTAAAACCAATCATGAATTAAAATCAGCCGTGTCAGTGGGCGGTTGGCGTAGTGCGGCGGGGGCGTTGGCGACACCCAGGTGGTGTGGACGGGGGGCTGACGTCAAATGAGAAATTTCAAAATGTAAACAATTATATCGAGTCAGTTTCAAAACACATCTAAGTTAAATACAACAGCAGGGTGTCACCTGAAAAAGTGCCCCCAGAACATAGCACCACAAGAAAAATGTGCAACCAGAGCGTCTAGTGTGATTTTTATTGTGAGATCATATTTTTTTCGCCCAAAGTGGGTCATGATATAAAGGCGCTCATTTAAAAAAAAGCACATAATAAATACGAATGTAAATTTTTAAATAACAAATGTTTAACACAATTTATAGAGCAGTCACATAGTCTGATCAAAAGTTACATTATTGATGGCTTTTAAACATTTTCTTACAAATCAATAATGGCGGGATTACGGTGATGATTTCTGTTTTTGAAAACATCTACTAAACTATCTTAAAATGTATAAAGAAATATATACAATGATTAAAATAGTAATAATTTTATGCTCTTTTTATTGTCCGTTTCCTTGTATGCGTCTTCTTCGTAACACACTAAATTTTTTATAGACCAGTTCATTCTGGTATATAGTTAGCATAAAAATTTTAGCTTCATTGCAGTTGCAGATATATTTAAATAAAATAATTCTTTCACTCGTTCCTAATGTAAAAAAAAATCAAACAAAATATTCGCTTAAACATGGTTTAATTATAACTTTCATGTTTTTTATAATTATGATTAATTTTTTTTACAAATTTTGAAACTTCAGTTTGGAGAAAAACAAGACAACTTTATTCTCAGATCGAAGTTATTAAACTTTGCCTTAATGCTTTACTCAACCATCTGCAGTGCTTTACCTGAAGACAAAAAGGTTGCCGTAAAATAAGATGAAACACTATTTTTGTTATTATTTCTCGTGACATTGTCCAGGCAGGCGCAGAAATAAAGCGATGATATTAGAGAAGGGAGCATGCATTAAAAATAATTGAATTAAAAAGCATGAATGAATAAGAGGTAAACTTGCTAACTTGTAAGACAATAAGCAAAGATTAGGTGATAAGTTCAAAAGTAAGAACAAACTTTTCTTTAACAAATGAAAACATTTCAGAGCAATATATTTTAGTGCCTACTATTAACAAAATGTATATTAATACTAACACTGTTTGAAACACAGTGTAGATTAATCAAAAGAAAACATATATGTTCAGATTTAATTATAGAAGTACAAAAATACAAATTCAAAAGTTTCGGCCGATGCCTTTAGTGGTAGTTCGCAAATTACGTCACGCAAAAAAATAAACTTTTAGAATTATCCCCCCCCCCTCCGGTCATAAAGTGTTACAAATTCTTTACCCCTCAAATCAGTGTCACGTCACACTTTAAAAAAAAAATTAAAACACATACAATTTTCATTACTTAACAAAAACTTTATTTTATTCTTTAAAATTGTCCCATAATGGTTTAGTTTGCAGTATTATTAGAAAACTGTGACGCGAAACAACGAAGTCATCCACAAACCGAATTCAAAATGGCCCCTCAAATGTTTTTGCGTCATTTTTCGAAGGTGTGCACGATTGAGTTTCATGGTACCTATGATACCTGAGGCAATATCGACCTGAAATTATTATTTTTCAAATTAATTGAAATAGATTTTTCAAAATTAGAAAATGTTAAACTGAAAGCAAACCCCACTAAAATGTGGCGTCACACATTTTTGACAGCCTCCCCGTCACAAAAAGTCCTAAATTCTTGACCCCCCCCCAGCGTGACGTAACTTGCGAACGACCCCCTTATCAGTACAAAAAATATCATTGTTTTAATTATAGATGAAATTAAATGTATATCCAATGTATACCTAAAAATTTGTTTGAAAAATATAGTAGGAATTCCTGTTTTTCTTGATTTTAACTAATACAGTTTTTACATGTTTTCATAGTCTTTTGTCCCGCAACCAATGTTATCTCCAACTATATTTCTTTTCCCCCTCCCATACAGCATAACCTCGGATTGGGAGAGTAATTTGGCTTGCTTTTGATTTGTTACTTTGCACACCAAATTACGCCGGAGCAGGGTAGTTAGTACTTGATTGTTTAGTTATGTCCTACAACGTGTCATCTGCCCCAGGGGCTGACCATCCCCATTTGTTTAGTACTCAGCCCCCCCCCCAGCCTCATCCTCTAGTCTCCTTCGTTTAAATTTACGCATGTCTCTGATACCAAATATTACACGCTTCAAATCCATTCAACCTCATCCATCCTACGCCCACCTTCTCTGAAAATGCAGCTGTAAGGCTCCCCCCCCCCAATCATGATCATTCTTAGATTTCGGTTATACTTCCTTGAAACATCTTCATTTTGAGGCCTACAACATTTTCATATTAATTAAGTTTTCTTTTTATGTTTTTTTTTATATTCGCATAAGAAGAGTTTCAGCTGAAGTGTTCCTGCTTTTGTTTTGCTGTATTTTTCAAGCTTTCACTTAACTTAATCTTAATGTTCGCTATACATGTTATGAACGCAGTGTCTATTATGGTGTTCTGGCTACTAACTAAAACAAACAAAAAAACTTATTAAAAACGTAAGAAGTCAAATAATCCTATCTTTCTTATCTATAATAGTAAAACGCCTTCTTTCAGCAATAACCATGACGTTAATGTTGCCAGGGTCAAAGTGCACACTTTGTGCAATTTAAGCGTATTTTATAATCGATCAGATTTAATCCCGAGTTCTTTAAATTGGGGCCAGTGAAAAATTGTAATGTTTTCTGTGGGCTAAAGTTAGTATATGCTAAAACAAATGAAATAAAAATATTTATATTCATCATTAAATAATTAAATTTGCGAAATATTTCCACGTTTTACCCTATTCAAGGAAGAAGAGAAGAAACGATTAAGTAGAGAGGTTTATGCATTTTTATGGGTTATCTAAGCTGGTCATTTTTTAAAATCGTATATAAACACTATTGTTATGTAAAGACGACATGAGTGGTTTACAAAAGAGTAGTAAATTCAGTTGATTGAATTTTTTAAATTTTTAAATTTTAAAACACTATAACTTTTTTTCAGATAAATTAAACATTGTAACTTAGAAATACTTTAAAAACATTTTTCCCAACAAAGCCAGAGAATTAATTTTAAATTGACAAATTAGGAATAAGAATTCATTCAAAAACAAGTATCAACAAAAAAATGGCATTGGCGTGATAATTGAAATGCAAGTGCATCTTCTTTACTTTAGCTTTCTGATAGATTCTCATCTTGAAAATATATTTTTAAAACAATCCTTGCAAACAAATGGGGCAGATTGTTTATTATTCTAATATTAAAAAAGAAAAAGCTAGCAAGAATTTAATAAATTTTGTCTAAATATTTTTTCAAACTTTGTTACAAACGTGGCATGTTTTAAAAAACACAAACTTTTCGATGTAATAATTAATGAAATTTGGAATATTTGTATGCGCCCGTTCAATTCTTAATTAAAAAAAAATGTCTCTCAATTTTTAATTTTCCATTTTATATAACTCGACATTCATGAAATCGAGTATATTTATAGTTCTACCACTAAAACTATTTTTAAAGGCTAAGATCATCATACGATTTAGAATTAACACCTATCCCTACGTTAAAAATAATGCTTTTATAATGAAATATAATTAGAACATAGACTGCATGTTTAATACCTGGCAAGAAATATTATTAGATTTGAAGTCCTTGATCTTGATATCAAGGTATTTTAGTGCAGTTTTATTAAAGTCTTAGAATTTGTGAATGTGAAAACAAATAAAATAAATAATACTAATAATAAAAAAGAATAAAAAATATCGATAGGTGCGACGATAAGCCTTTAACAAGATTAGCCTAAAATATACGGATCATCAAATATATCGAGCGTAGCGATATTTAATAGATTCTACTAATTATAATTGGATAAAACACCAGTTACAATTCTTTTTAAAACTGTTTAAAAATAACAATTTAGTCGTTTTTAATTTTGAAAATATATAATCGTTATATTGTTTTTACCCATTTTGCTTCAGGGTGGGGCACTTGAATTTCCCCGAGGAGGAGCGCCCCCTCACCCCACCCCCCGGAGAGATGCCTGAAAGAAACCATGTAGCAAAGTATTTGTGAACGTGTTCAAACAGAATAACACAAATTAATCGTAAAAAATGGTATGCTTTAAATCCATACAAATATATGTCTTATGCATATGAGGTCATCAATTATTATGTAAACAAAATAGGGGGTGGGGGGTTTGGAAAGGTTTAACAATTGTTGACAAGGGGGAAGGGGGTTAGATTAGTTGACATCAACAATCATGTTTTCTCTATTAAAATTTTAATCCTAAATATTGACTGGATATTACATTATTTTGACAAATTTAAAGCATGTAGATAAATATAGTTATATAATTTTTAAGCTTTTAACAATTTAAGATTTATTTAATGTGTGCCTGTCTGTGCACTGCTGTTGGCTGGTCAGAATGCCAGCACATTTAGTTAATGCAACAGTTGGCGTCTCTTCGACTGTAGATTCTATTTGTCGCAAATGACTTGTGCGGTATGTATGCGGTCATGTCGCAGGAATTAAAAAATTACAAATTTCAAGTCAATTGGGTTCAAGATAAATGGTATTGATTGAGTGGAATACGATATTTGAGAATTAGGGGAAAGTAAAGTGAGTAACAATAATAACATCGCTGCTTGAAGGGATTTGCAAAACATCGTAACATCTAT